TACGCACCACTCCAGGTGGGGTCTCACAAGAGCAGAGTAGAGGGGGAGAATCCCCTCCCTTGACCTGCTGGCCACACTTGTGAGGCAAGTCTCACCAGTCCCAATGCCCTGGCTACACATCAGTTTGGGCTTCATTCTGGGTTTTCCGTTTCCTGTCCCATACAGCTATGTTACGCTGGACTGCCCTGATGACAGTCCCAAAACGCACACAGGACACACAGCTCACGGTTATGGGTTGATGGGCCCTAGCCTCATAATGGGATAAGGGGCATTTGACCCAGACAGCTGGCACAGCAGCAGTCAGAACAGTGGGAATGCAGAAATCAGTCACAATTTGCTTTTGACTCCGCAACCGAAGGGAGAAAACTCTATCTGGAAGCCACTGGGATAGGAAAAATAAAACAAAACCACCACAGAGCCTGGCCCATGCTCTCTACAGCCCCCCTCCTAGCACACACTGGCAGGATGACTAAAAACGGTCACCAGTGGGACAGGCAGCTGAACAGAGCTTTCTGCTCTCTATGCACTCCCAGGGCTGCTGCCAGCCCCTGGAACAAGCTGCTGTGAGAGGACCTTGCTTTTAACAGCCAGAAAGAAACCCTGCAGGCGGTACTGCTGCAAGCCCAATGCAACGCTCTGATGAAGCAAGTCTGTTCGGAGCCCGTTTTTACAACATGAACACCTCTCCCAACAGGAATTCCATGGAGTACTACTCGCTCAAGGCTACTACAAGGTTGTTCAAGGCTATTTGTAGTGTAGGAGAAGTTTGAGTGGCAGTGGGAAAAGCACTGCTGACTAGCTTGAGGTATAAGCAAAAGGCTTCTAGGACTGTGCTGTGGTAGGGGAACACTGGTTATAAATCATAAAGCCAGGAAGGTGCCATGCAAAGATTTAGAAGGATCGTGACATGGTGATGAGCCCCATCACCCCAGTTAGGCCTTGTCATAGACAGGCAGAGCAGGTCCTGCAGAAAGTGCAAAATCCTGCTGCCAGGCAGAAATGCAGTCAAGACCCCAGGGTTACATGCTTCCCCCTTCGACTAAAACTGGGACCACTGCAGCATGTAACTGAACCTTTTCCTTTCTTTTTTATGGGGAGCTCTCCCTCACTTTCCCAGCTCCCACAGCAGCTAGTGAAAACATCCCCCACATCCCAGCCTGGTGCCTTGTCCTGCATCCCACTGACTGTCTGTTAATTGGTCCCATACTTCAGCTCAGGCACCTACTTGGGTTTCCTTCTCAGGGTTGCAGGCGGAAGAAATTGGCCCAAGGAGGAAGGGTTGGAGCCAGCAGAAGAGACTATGGAGCAGAGTCACGAATTAATGCCAAGTTTTCCAGCTGCTCTTCCTCCTTACCACCACAGTCCTTGCTGGGGACATGAATCTCTATGACCCCACCATCTCCCAGAAATCATTCTGGCCCTAGATACAACCTCCGAGATGTCTGGTTTGCTCTAGCACCAGCTGTAGGCTGTTCCTCATGGAGTCCTGCCCAAAGCCATACAGAAGTTACCCTAATGTCTTGGACAGGCGAAAAGTGAATGCTTGGAAATATCTAATTTCCATCCACAGGTCCTCTCATAGCCTGAATACTCCGAAGTATTTTGGGATGGACTCTAGAAAGTTAACAATGTCCACAGTGAAAAATTAAACCAAAGCTGTGCTATCTGACCAGGTTTCAAGGTGACCATTCCTGTCACATGGCATTGATGACTTGCAGAGCATCTTCAGTGCCCAAGGAACAACCTAGAACCTGTTTAAGTTGAGGATGCAGCAGTAACTAACCTTGCCAACTATCCTAAGATAGAGGGTCCAACTCACTTAGAAGCCTGCAAAGGGCAGAGGTTTGGTACTGGTACTTCTCAGTACGCTCAACTGAGAAGACAAATGCCAAACTCACATCCTAATCCTGCACTGAAAGCTATTGCCTTTTGCCCTAGATCACTGTCCCAAATCCTCTCAGCAAAATTTGCTCAGTTTGCACAACTTCCTCCCTGTCACAGTGGATCAATAAATAGATTCATTATATTTCATTTCTATTTCTGTGGTGCTTTTCCTCCAAGCCTTGCAGTCAGATGAGGATCAGACTAGAATCAAATAGCCCCAATCCTCAGTGCTGGTCCATCCTCAAAGCTCAGAGAACAGCCCGTCTCCATGGGTGGCATTCCTCGCACCAAACATTCAATGTACACATCTGAGTTAGACATTACCACACGCTTTCAGAGTCAATACAGAGAAAAAGCGCTTTCAGAATGTGATTTATGTGAGCTGCTTTTGACATCTGCTTTGACGTTAGGATGAGACATTTTATTCAGTGGAAGTTCCCATTTCTATCCATTAACTATAAGGGGATCTGGACTTCTAGAGAGGTAGGTGTCTAACAAAGTTAGCCCCAGTAAGTTCCTCTCTAAAGGCGATTTCAACACTGAGAAGACCTCACAGTCCATGAATTAAACTGCCACGATCCGAGGGAATTTGTCTCTTGGAGAAGAAAGCTTGTGTGGCTGCTGTACTATTGTGACCATTTAAAAGAAAAACAAGCAAATACGTAGATATAACCCTAAATTATTTCTAGGACCACTGAGTGTTTTTGAAAGAAGATATTTATACCTTCCAGAAGACTGAACATGAGCCCTCCATATTACCAAACAACAGTCTGGCCACCTGTTGAGCCTATTTAATCATTAATTTGTTTTAAAAAGCACTACGGTAGAGCCCATTTTTCTCCAACAAAATCTCCAACAGGGCCACCTGCAGCAGTTCAGGAGTTCCTGTTTGTGCACAACTTGACTGTGGTAGTGTCTTTCCCAGTACAAGTTCGTCCTGGCCAAACGTGTCTACCTGAGGCCGAGATGAACCGTGCCTTGAACTTCAATTGCTGTATTTGACCATCTCTTTCCATTTGACCTTTCCCTATACAGAATCCAGTGTGACTTTCCATACGTAATTACCTACATTAGATACCAGCAGCCCTTCAAACGTGCTCCACTTCTTCATTGTAGACCTTCACCACCACAGCTGCTTATGGATATTCCTCGTGCCTCTTTCTTTTCCTTGGTAAAGAGTTTGTCTCTGAGTTTTAGTCAATCTTTCTAAATCCCTGCTCAGATCTTTTAGTTATTTTCTATTTTTTCAAGTATTTAACTCAGTTAATGTATAGAAGATAGCTGAACTAGAGCAAAACCATATTGACATCAACTTGTGCCAGTGTCACTGTCCCTTCCCTCAGAAATATTCTCAGTGCTGCAATGGTTCATTCAGTTCCATGGTCTCCTCTCATATCTAAGATACCTCACTGGGCAAGAAAGGGTTTGTTCGGTATTTTACTTAAGGTCACAAAGTAAATCATTGGCAGAAACAGGAGGAGGACCTGGGAGAGCTACCTGTCAATTACCCTGACCATCAGAGTGACATTCATGCGAAACCTGGGGATGCATTTTGTACCAACCCGAGCAACAGAAATGCTGTGCCATGCTGGAGGAGGCATTTCCCAGTCCAGCTGTTCCTCTGGTAAGTTCCAGATGCAAATTCCATCCTTGAGAGCACTGGTCGCCATCGCAGGTGACCTTCCATATTTGGTTCCCAGCCCAGATGCTGTCAAAGTGTTGCCTCAAAGTTGGCAGTTGAATGAGAAGTGTGTAACTTGCACCTAATACTGATGCTCATTAACAGGTTTCAATGGGATCATCTTGCCATGTTTCCAGCAGCATCTCTTGTTTGATAAGCATCCTCAAAAAGGGATCATTTGTTTCTCTCTGTGTCTTCACTGAAGCTGTCCCAGGATGCAGGAGTAGGGGAGTCTTCCCAATTAGTAAGATGTGACCAGATGTTCATCCTCCCTGATCCCCAGGGGTTGATCACTGCTCACCTGACTTTGAGTTTTCTCTCTCTAGGATTGGTTTTGTCCATCTCTGACTAACCATATGTTTAATTATATTCATGAAAATGACAGGGAACATATATTGCCTTGTTCAAAAGCTTTGGTATTCACACAGAGAAAATCTTCCACTTCATTATTGATCCACTTGGAGTGTCTTAATATGCTTTACGATGAATCGAGAGCTGCGGTATATTTGCATGGCTGAGAAGGATTATTACCTCTATTTTCCAGATAACAAACTTTGGCAACGACAACATAAGTAGCCAGTATGAGGTCTCCCAGCAGCAGTCACAAATGAAACCCAAAATGGTCACCATAAACCCTCTATTCCCTAAGTAAGTCTTCAAAAACCTCTCATTTTCAATAGCCATGCCATGTGTCTCCATCAGTCTCAACTGACATAAATATGCGACAGATAAAGCTTTGGGAGGGCAACGGAGAGGTGGAAAAATGTTGATCACAAGGAATGAGAAACATTGATCATCTGTATGTCTGGTGTCAGTTGTTAGCTTTTGTTGTGTTTCCACCCACAGCTCAGTACAACTCAGATGAGTTTGCTGATGTGCTGTTTATCAAGCAACAGCACTGAGGAATGCAAATTGCTAAGAGGAAAGTAAAGAAGGAGTGAATAAATCAATGGTGAGAGGAGGAGACGCTCCCTCTGATGTAATCACTAGGTCCATTTTTCACAGGTTCCAGGAAGGATACGCAAGAGTACACTAAGTTGTACAAATGTCAAATCCTCAGAATAGTCACACTACTGTGCCTATCCTGATTTTTTCTTTTCTCCTACATAAAGGCAAATTTTAGCCACCAGCATATTAATAATTGCTGGTGACTGTGCTGAATTTAACAAAGTACTTGATGTAACATGTTTCCAACATGACATTACATGAGTATCTAGGGTTCATACAGACCGTACAAAACCAGAGGAGAGGCAAACTTTCCTGAAGCGCTTTGATTATGAAAGATTTTTTACTGTCCGTAATGATCTCCAGGTTACCCTTCTACTGTTCTACTTCTCTAAATTACTCCTGATTGGGATATACTATCAAGAAGGAGCCCTGATGTTTATAGGATTGATGGAAGGCAAATGGTGATGCAAACTCCTAGGAGATCCCTGCCAGCTCTTCAGCACTGGTGTGTCCTCCCAGCCCACCCAGGGAGAAAAGGCTGAGGTTTAAGCAGCACTTACCATCACCTTGTGCCGTCCAATGAGGTTTGGTGACTCACAGAGTAACTGCACATCCGATACGGTCACTGCACAGGGCTTCTCACCAACCAAAACGGTGTAGTTCAGCTTGGCATTCCCTCCTGCCACTGGTGGGATCAGGTTCTTGCCCTGGATAGAAAGGAATATGACCACACCCCCAAAAAAAAAAAGCCATGTCAGGAAAGAGTTTGCCTTCCAAGCCTAGTTAGCTCCTGGGACGCAAGTTTTAACATTGCACTCACTGTTGCAGTGCTAGAAAATGTTCTTCTCTGGTGAGAATGGTGAGAAGCAGTGAGTACAAACTTAGGCTGTACACAGGCAGCTGCAACAGGAGTTTGTATATTTTAGTTACGGGTATTGGCAGATGCTGAGCACTGATTTGTGTTTGCAGATGGTGGCTCTGATGACACAATATGGTGAGTGCAATGAGTGAAGGAAGTTTCTGGGATGCAGTCAGGGTGCCACTACTGTGATTCGTGGGGTGCTGGCAGACACAGAGAGGCAACAGGTAACATGTCTTTGTCCTTCCTCATTCAGCCCTTGGTCCCCACCTCACCTTCAGTATGATAGGACTCCCCGGCTTCAGCTCCAGGATCCCCGAGGGATTGAAAACCTCAAAGATCGGGTTTGGGTAGTAGGTGAAGTTGGTTTTGTTGAGGATGAGAAGGGACTGCACGTTGTCAAGAATGAAGCCAAACTCTTCTGGACGCTCGGCGAGCTCCGACTGGTGACTGGGGTCAACAGCCAGTGCTGGAGCCTGGCAGGTCATCTCTGTGCTGTTCTGCACCTCACAGTTCTGCAAAAAGAAACCCAACACAAGGAGAGTTTATGAAAATGCCTCCAGCTCTCCTGATGGGCAGATAGCTCCCAGTGAAATTCTAGCCTGCCCACTGCCAGTACAAGTGAGGAGCAGACCTCCCTGGTTATCGTGAGACAAGCTGGTGCTCCTCTGCTTCAAACCACACCCCACAGCCATCACACAGTTAAGGCTGGGAAGGGGTAAGAAAAGCTGTGCTGGGGCAGGTGTGTGAAGCAGTTTGCACAACAATTGGGCATCCTGTGCCTCTTCCCTGAGGGAGCCCAGACTCCTGGTTTGCCAGTGTCAGCATCTTCCCCTAACCTCATTTCCTTCTGGAAACAGCAATTTCTTCTTTTTTTTTTTTTGGTACAGCAGAGGCTAGTCAAAGCCTCACTACTACCCTGCAATTATCTCTCACACTGTGAGGATCACTCCAAAAGCGTATGTGCAGAGCATGTTCAGTTGTGCTCAAAATTCCTGTTTGAACATCAGGTTACCTGAAAAGAAGCCCAGGAAGCTGGAGAGGTGAAGACAATGGGGTAGGTCTCAGGAGACCCTGAAGTATGACTCCAGCCCTGCCAAAGATGTGGTTTTTTGTGTATTTTAATAAATGGGTAATAGATTGTGGAAGGCATTTATCCTGACTCCCATTTTAAATTACTAGGAATGAGATGTCTAGTTGTCCTTCAGGATCTGAGCCTTCGTCTTTATAAACTGCGGTTGCCAGCACAATGCATCCTGGTCTTACCAGGAACCAACAGGCTCTGTGGGGAAAGAGCACCAGCTCCAAGGGATGCTTGATACGAGAGTCTTCTCCAAAAGGCACCAGAGTACTTCCCAGTGCAAAACTGATGGGAAGTTCTACGTGAGCATGTGTGAGATGATGAATAGGCTTCATCTGCACAATGGCACGATTGTTCGAGAACACTCTGTCAGACAAGAGCTGGAGTCTGCTGGAAGAATAAGATGAAGTCCTACAGGCTTCTAATTCTGCAGGAAAGCCAGGTAAGTGTTTGGCTGTGCTGTACTAGGAAGTACAACACATTACCAAAACATACCTATGAATACGCATAACCAGTTGAACCAGGCTCTTCCCAGAGTCCATGACGGACTGGGAGATTGTCAGTCAAGATTCACATCAGGCCCAGAAACCAATCTCAACAGATACTTCGTGTGTCTGCAAAATGCAGATGCAAATGAATCTACCCCACATATTCCTGCATTTTCTTTTTGGATCTACCATAGTTTCACCATTGCTCATGTGGCAGTAAATTATTTTAATGTCTGCAAAGTGCTTTAAGAACCTTGTGTAGAAAGACCATGGGTTAATCTTAAAACACAAGAAATGCAGAGGATCTGAACTTTCTGCCCCCATCCTAATTATTCATTCTGCATTTTTTACTTTTGGAGTCTCTTCTGGGATGCTCCCAGGAAGTGCCCATACACAACCAACACCTTTTCAGATGCTGGTGTATGGCCCCATCCTCCAACATACTGGAGGTACCAGCAGGTGCTTCCTGCTCCTGAGTCTCCTAATTGGAGGTGCTAAACTCACACCTTTTACAGCTCTATCTGGAGCGGCTCAGCAGCTACTGGTAATCGTATCCTTCCAAGTTTTGTCCTCCCAGGCCGTGGTAGAGTCTTACTGGCTTCCATAGAGCCACTTCTGACCCCTCAGTGGTCACTGAGGGTTGAATTAGGCTTTAAATCTAGCTGGTGAAACCTGGATACACTTTGCAGGATCCCCTATTTATCACTTTGCAGGATAAATAACATAGGTTGCACATGGGCCAAGAGAGAGGACAGGTTCGGGAGATAAATGACCCTTTATGATGCCTCCTTCTGTTCCTTCTTTGGTTTAGAGCTCCTTCATGGAGAAAGAATGGGGTAATCTTTCTGAAAGGAAGTCATACCCTCTTTTCTGGATGCAATAGAAATTTCAACCTCCAGAGCTGTTAGCCAGCCTCTGTCACCACCTTGGACACGTACCCTCCTGTGACTGATCCCAGCTCAGCAGCCATACTCACATTGACGTGTTCCTTTCCACCGTGCTTTGCCCGGATCTGAGGGTTTTGGATCAGGTCTAGGTGAGTTCCCCACACGGCAATGGGTGTGTTGCCACTGGAGAATAAGAAAGAAAAGAAGTGCATGAACCCAGATAATTGCACCCAGACTGATTGCACCAGCAGTGGGTGACCTGCATTCTGAAATGTTGATTGCAAAGTGTCTGACCACACCTCACAGTCGCATAGGAAGGGAAGGAAAAAGTAAACAAAGCAAATTTTCATTCATTAAGTCATAAGGAGAGAAAAAAGTAAAACCACATGCTTGGTAAAGCTGTCACATCAAGCAGCATCTGGGTGTTTTTTATTGTTAGGACTCGGCAAACACAAGCTTCGGTAATGATAAGAGTGGGAAATCTACTAGGAGCTCTTCACAATGGTCCATAGACTGTACCTTCAAATATCACTTAAGGAAGGGAGCCTAAAAACCCTCATAGATACTATCCTGTGCAACCAGCTCTTGAGGATCCAGTGGCTGGTGTCTGTAGTCCCACCATGCACATTTAACCTGCTACAAGAACATCACCCTAAATAAGAAAACGTCACCTCAGAGAACCCCCTCCAGTGCTGCCGGGGAACCAGGTCCTGCAGCATCTAGAAGAAGCAGATCCAAAGTCTTCAGATGTGGTGTGCATAAGGCATTTGCTCAGTTCCCATTTGGTGAACCAGGTGGATAAGCACTGCCATGTGTGTTAGATCAAGCGCTTGACAGAACAGAGATTTCCAGTCACTGTGTCCCTTGCTCAGGCAAGGACATACTTCCTGACAAAGCTGATTCATACAAGCCACCTCTATGCATTTGGTAGATTTTCTCGCTTTTATAACATCTCTCTTAGCCCGGGTTAAGATGGGGAGATGTAGACAGAGCCATTCTCCTTCCTTGCAATCACTGTCACCAGAAGGAAACAGCTTTCAGAAACACCCTTCTTCCCTTTCCCTCACCTCTTCCAGCTGCAGCCAGCAGTGCTGTTTGTGGGACTTCAGGGAACAGAGGGGAGAGAGGAAGGAAACTGCAAAGGAGCATTCCCAGGCTTTAGTAGGAGCTGATGCATGGGTTGAACACGGCGTTAAGGCTTCACCAAAGGCAGCTTTGGCCACCCCAAACTGAAAGCAGGGTGAGCAACCCCTCTGCAGCACTGTGGCAGAGGCACCGTGATGCAAGGGCTGAAGGGGTAAGAGTAATCTGAGAAAGCAAAACCTTCAGCTGTCAGGGCTCACACAGCCAGGGCAGGATGAGGAAACGCCATCAACAGACAGCCCCTTCTCAGAGGGTTTCCCAGGGTGAGGAGTGCTCTCATTGGTTTTGGCACCTGCCTCCATAACTCCTCTTGGAAACTGTCCAGGCAGCAATTTATTTCCTGGAAAGCTCTGCTGAGAATGGGAGGCTATGTGGAAATCATTGGAATTGGGAAAACAAAGCTCAGAATCTATTTCCTGCCTCCAGGTAAACCTACGCATACATGAAATGTGAAACAAGTGCATTATAAATGAGAAAACACCAGGGAATAAACACTGTAAGGAAGAAGCCAGTATTGGCCAACAAATCTCCCCCAGTTCTGACCTTTGTTTTCTGTGTTTTTCATTTATCTTCCGTTATTAATCATAAAAGGCAGATAGGAATGAATGCAAATATATCTCTCTGCTGAGCAGTACAGCTGTCCGGTTTCTCGATACACCTGCACTGATAAACCAAACGGCCAGGGCACCAGCTCAAACGCTGGCTGGTGGCCACAGATGCTGATAAGCCGTTAGCAGTACCTCAGACAAGCCTGGTCATGGTTCAAGGATAGCAAGGGCCAGGGAGCACTCCCAATAAGCAGGACAGATGTAGCTGAATTGCCTTGGAAGGAGGAAAGCTCACTGGTGGTATGGATGAGGGCTATGCATGCTCTCTGGCTCCAGGACAAAGACTAGACCTGAATTAAGTACTCACTGGTTTAAACACGACCTGTGTGACCAAAAGGTCTGTACATTTGAAGTCACGAGCTCTGGCAAAGAGCATT